AGAAGAGACAAAATTAAAAATGAAGTCATAAGGGACACCGTGGGAGCAACACCAGTCCTACGGAGGGAGCGAGGGAGGGGGAGAAGGGAGGGAGAGAGAGTGAGAGTGAGAGAGAGGGAGGGAGGGAAGGGGGGTGGAGAATGAGAGAGAGAGAGAGAGACAGAGAGAGACAGAGAGAGAAAGAGAGAGAGAGTAGCCGTTATGATGATTCCACAAAACTTACCAACACCTTGTCATCATAGTGTCCTTCCATCAAGACAATTCCTGTCAGAGAAAAACAACAAAAGACAAATCAGTACAATACAAAGACAGAAAAAATCCAGCAAGAGTTGCTGCTCAAATCATTGACAAGGTTTAATAAATCAACAAGGAGATATGTAAACATGAGAGCGATGAAAGAAAAGATATTCCTCTTAAAAGTGAACAAATTAAAAGTTTTGAGTATTTTGATGATAAAGAAATATTATATACAGTAGTCTCCGCCTAAGATCCCACTGCTTACAATCCCGGTTCGCTAAAGATCCCGCTGTTTTAAGAAAACAGAATTTTTACTTTACAAAGGTCACCCCTAAGATCCCGCTCTGATTCACTCTGAAGGTCTACATTCGGCTAAGATCCCGCATTTCAGATCATAATTTGAGGAACAAAAACCCGGGCGGGCACAGCCGATCAAACAAGAGTGAAAAGTTGAGATCAATAAACTGTCCGTCGCTTCAAAGATCAGCCACTATCGTGAATGTGATCACATACACGTTGTAAAACTGGATGAAGCGATACAATGTTTGCCCCCGACGGCATCACACCGGGGTGTGAACCGACCGACGCATTTGTTTTCCCCACGCATCGCACTCACACCTGAACTCTCCACCTAAACTTACATAACTCGCTGGGTGGATAGGGCCTACACGTTCGTTCCAGGCGGGATCACATCGAACCGTGAACTCTTCCCTGACCATTGCAGTAGGCGTTAATTGCAGCAGTTGTCATTACGCCCGAAATTGCTAGACAGACTGAATTTTAATTGGTGTGTTCACAACGCAATGGTGTGTAACGACAAAGACGTTTGGGGAGGGGGGGGGGACTCGGTCAGAGATGGAAAGCTATAAATTTTCGACAGGTAAAGGGGAGGGGCAACTGAATAAGCGTTGATCTTGAGACTCATGATAGGATAATAAGTGAAAATGGCTCCCCTCATGGCACTATGCACTGTGATAGGCCAGCAAGGTTAACCACTCTTTGCTCGCCATATATGTCATAAACCCACCAAGGGGTCACGTCAGTTCATTTTAGGGTGGAGGGAGACCATTTTACCGATTTTAAGCCTTAACATGGGTCCCCATAGACTCTTCCCTGGGATCGTCGGTTAAGATCCCGGTTCGCCTAAGATCCCGCATTTCCTTGCTCCCGAGCACCGGGATCTTAGGCGGAGACTACTGTATTAATAAATCAAAATTCCTACATCGTAACATTTACTCCATAATGGATTCCAGATTAATGACTTATCGGATAAGTGATCGGGAATCAAATTCCTATAAATTCTAACAGACATCAACTTAAACAGTCTTAACTGAGGGAAAGCTTATCGAGAGTACGATGATTTGAGATCTTGCATACGGTACGGTATGAGTTCAACGTCCATTATAATATGTTAACTAACGTCTAAGAAGCGGAACCTGTAAACAGTTATGTCCATTTCCCACTGGACAGAGGAAAGTACATACATGACGTAGAGAGCTTTGAAAAGTTCTCAAACGACCCAAGTTCAAGAAAAAAAGAAAAAAAGCCATGACTTACCTTTACTCTCCATCAGTTCTGGGTAGTGTGATAAAGTTAGGCATGGAGGAGCATTCTCTCGGACCATCTGATAAAACAAATAAAATAAAAAGTAAAACTATAAGCTTTTTAACATACAGCTACATCAGCACAAAGCACATGAATCAAGCTGGCTTCTTGTTATAAAGATTTTAAGACCATGTATGGCATATTTAAAAAATGTTTCTGTTGTGTACCATATCTATGGCCTTCTGGTTTATATCCGACTTCCACAATTCAATAAGAGCATAATCTTTCTTACTCAATAGCCCTTAATCAGCCAAGACTAGAAGTTATAAATTTGTTTTAGTTTTCGAGTTAGACAATGCTTTCCTGTCAAAAGACATAAAATACTGAGGTCATGTAAACCAGACAGAGACACAGTAATCTGTCGGTCTGTCTGGTTTGTACAAACATGCTAACTAAACTTACTTGTTCAACACCAGAGACTTTTTTTTCATAAGTGTTTTACGGCGCTCGCAACTGCATAAGGTCATATGAGCACACGGGACACACTAAACTTTTTCAGTTGGTAGGAAATTTTCACCGCCAACTACCCTGAGCACTCAGAACCTACCATCCTGGAGAGTGAAGTGAGAGAAGCATTGAAAACTAGTCCAAAGAACAAGGCAGCTGGAGACGATGGCATCACAACCGAAGCCATCCTTGCATGTGGCGAAACCGGAATACATTGGCTTACAATCATCTTCCAAAAAGCATGGAAAGAAAGAAAAGTGCCAGCAGACTGGCAAAATGCGATAGTGGTGCCAATATGGAAGAAAAAGGGCAGCAAGAAAGACTGCAACACCTATAGAGGCATATCTCTTCTCAGCCATGTGGGGAAAATGTATGCAAAAATCCTAGAGCGACGTACTCGCGCAAAAACCGAACATCTTCTCAGTGACGCCCAATTTGGCTTTAGAAAAGGAAGAGGGTGCACTGATGCAATCTTCGCACTCCGACAACTGTGTGAGAGGGCTTTGGAATACAAAAAAGATCTCCACCTCGTATTTGTGGACCAAGAAAAAGCCTTTGATCGAGTAATTAGAAACAAGCTATGGAAGATCTTAGAGCAGTACGACATCAAGGGACAACTGCTAGACAACATCAGGGCTATCTATGCCAACAGCAGAAGCGCTGTCCGAACTACCAGTGGAACATCGGACTGGTTTCCAGTAACATCCGGAGTGAGACAGGGCTGCAGTCTCTCCCCTCTGCTCTTCGTGATCTACATGGACCAGATAACAAAAGAGGCCAATCCAGACCCAGAGGCACTCAACGAACTCATGTTTGCAGATGACCTGGCAATGATTAACAACAAGATTCAGCTACAGGAGCATATAAACCAACTAAATGCGAGCTGCGAAAAATATGACATGAAGATCAGTATAAGCAAGACCGAAGTCATGACAATTAGCAGGAGACCAGGTAAAGTGGATATCAACATCAATGGATCCCAACTAAAACGAAACAGAGAATTCAAATAATTGGGCAGCATTTTCACAGAAAATGGAAAATTAGATCGAGAGATAGAGACTAGATGCCAGAGAGCCAACGCAGTCAGCTACCAACTGGGCCCTCTCCTGAAACATCCCAATATCCCCATGAGCACCAAGGCAAAGCTCATCAACGCCATTTTCCTTCCAACGCTCACATATCAGTGCCAGACATGGACTCTAACAAAAGCCCTAGAGAGGAAACTGGTCACATGCGAGATGAAATGCTTAAGAAGAGCGGTCAACAAAACAAGAAGAGACAAAATTAAAAATGAAGTCATAAGGGACACCGTGGGAGCAACACCAGTCCTACCACACATTGAAAAACAAAAGGTCAAGTGGTTCGGACACCTCACGCGGATGCCCTCAAACCATCCAGCTCTGAGAGCATACAACATTAAATAATCTGGATGGAGAGCCAGAGGAAGACCAAGGCGACGATGGAGTGAATCTGTGGCAGACACCCTTAAAGATCATGGGATGTCCCTCCTACAGGCCACACGACTTGCTGCAGACAGACACCTGTGTCTCCCCGCGACACCCCAGGGTGCAAGCGGAAGAAAAAAGTAAAAGTAAAAGGAAATTTTGAATTTTGTGTGGGTGGCGGCCGAAGCCTACTCTTATCCATTTTAGACAATCAAGGGGTTTTTAACGTGTGCAACTTGCCCATGGGCCCTCCGAGATTTTTCGCCCTTGTCCGAGAAGGCTAGGTGTAGATCTTTCCACCAGATGATAAGGGGTGTGGCTGAAAGACAGCAGTAAGAAGGAGCAAAGGAGTAACAGTAGATTTAGAAAGGTTGCACAAAGAATCAGGAGCCCAGAGGAGGGGACAAAGGAGGTGAAGGGGTGGAAGACAGAAAGAGGAGATCGAAAGCAGACAACAGAACATTGCTAGAAAGTAGGAAAGGAGGTGAAAGGAGACAATTTTAGAGAAGATATTTTTCGGTCGCTACCCGGATTTGAACCAGGGACCTTTGAATGAGAGGCCAACACCATAACCTCTTGGCCACGAGAGCCCCTCGGAGACTTTGATTTTACAATCCCTAGAGGGGACTTTTGACTATGAAACTGCCCTCCCCCCTACCCTCTTTCTAATGCCCATCAGTTAAAGACAAAGTTTGTGTTCCACCTCTACTAGCAATTATCGATGACCTGAATTATCAAATAACAGCTACAATCAACACAGTGGACCAAGATATTCTGAGCCATGTTTGGAAGGAATTCTCACACATTGGCTTGATGTTGTCTGTGCAGTTAGTGGTGGCCACATTGAGCACTTGAAAAATATGAAATAAAAACTTGGAGGTATGTACAAAACAAGTGTCCAGGCCAGAGTTTTCTGTTGTTTTTAGTTTTTTAAATAAATTTTGCAAGATGATTTGGGCGTATTCTTTTTCAATCACCCTGTATTATAATGACACAGTCTGAAAAGTCCACCTGTCTTAGACAACCACTTATCTCTTCAACAATGGGTGGCCATCTTAGACAATTTCAAATATATCTGTCCCCTCCCCCCCTCCCCATTCCTTCAGTCTAACAGCAAACAAATAAACAAGTACAAGACTTACCTGAAACATTGCCAGTGGAGTGAAGTAAACATCATGTCTGTCAAACTGGCAAAGGATGAACTCAAAGCCATCATCTCGCGGTATAGGAAACACAAACTGAAACAAAAAGGACGCACTTCCTGGTAAACTGTTCTGTATAATATCTTACACCCCACATCAAGAAAAAACTGGTACCAGTAATAAAACTAAGTTCTGAGAGCTGGAAAAAGCAAATATCAAAAGCAAAGTTGAGAATGAAAAATTTGGATAACCTCTACAAGAACCTGTAAAATCATAAATGGCTGAAATGTGTCTTTAGAAAACAGGCTCAAATGACCCTTGATTTAAATAGCAAAGATAATCACTCATCAATTCCCCCCCCCCTTC